AGCATTTTTCTTTATGTAAGCCTATTTTTCCCCAGGTTCTGATATATGCAAGTTGTTTTACCTTTGCAAAGCCTGAAAATATTTAATGATTTTATCCTCACAGACATCTTCAGCCATCCAACTTGACCCTCTATTCTACTTATTGACCAAGCTATCTTGTCAGCATTAAATTTTAATATATGTCTCCCCATGTGGTCTTTCCTTTGCAATATCTCTGCTAGAACCTGACCTTAGTCTAGGCCAGTGATTTTCAACTGCTGTGCCATGGCACACTGTTGTACTGTAATAATTCTTAAAACAAGCAGTACCTGACTATTTAGGCAGGGGCACTGATTTCTTTTTCCTTAGAATGTGAAATAAAAAATGACGATAGCCAATATAACAATAGCCATCCAGTGTGAACGAATCAAAGTTATACCTACTTATTTTGTCAGATTGGCAAAACATATATTTTTTGGTGTACTGAAGAATTTTGGTAATTAGTGTACGCGTGTCATGAGATGAAAAAGGTTGAAAATCGCTGGTCTAGGTAAAAGCTCAGTAGAAAAGAACAGGTAGAAACTACCTGACCTTGAAAATGTGTTTTTTAAATATAGAGAGGAAGGAAGAGGGACAAAGCTATAGAAACATCAATGAAAGAGAATCATTGATTGGCTGCATCCTGCATGGGCTCCTACTGGGGACTGAGCCTGGAACTGGGCATGTGCCCTCACCGGGAACCTCTTGGTGCATGGGACATGGTTCAACCCACTAAACCCCAATGGCTGGGCAAAAATTGCTATTTTCTAACAGTTTTATTGAGAAAACAGTTATTTTCTAACAGTTTTATATAATTTGTTATTTTTTAATAGCTTTATTGAAATACTAGAGGCTGACTTGCAAGAAATTCATACAAGTGTAGGCCTACCTTGCCCTGGCTGCCTGCAACGGCTTCCCTCTGGCACCCGGAACCTGGGCTTCCCTCACAGCCCCGCTTCATCCAGAAGGAAATTAGCATATTATGCTTTTATTATTCTAGATAATTTACATGCTATACAACTTATCCATTTGAAGTGTACAATTCCATAGTTTTTAGGATAGTAAAAACAGAATTGTGCAATCATAACTGTAGTAGATTTTGGAACATTTTCGTCATTGCAGAAGCAACTCTGTGCCCTTTATCATCCTACAATCTTTCCATCCCAATTCCTGTCTCAAAGAATTTGCCTCTCCTTGATATTTCATGGAATCTCATAATATGTAGTTTTTTTGTGATTGGCTTC